AATCCATATCAAAATTTAAAACCAACCATAAAATCATAAAATCAAGAGAGACCGGCTAACTGAAAGAGATGAGTTTTTAGGGCTCGACGAAAGGTCCGGAGGTCGGAGATCACTCGTATCTCTGGGGGTAGATTGTTCCAAAGGGTAGGTGCCACGACAGAGAAGGCTCTCCTCCTGGGGGTCGCCAGCCGGCATTGTCTAGCTGACGGCATCCTGAGGAGGCCCTCTCTGTGGGAGCGAACTGGCCGGTGGGAGGCTATTGGTGGCAGAAGGCGGTCCTGTAAGTACCCTGGCCCTAAGCCATGGAGTGCTTTAAAGGTGATCACCAACACCTTGAAGCGCACCCGGAAGTCCACCGGAAGCCAATGCAGCTCGCGCAGGAGAGGAGTCACATGGGAGCGCCCAGTCGCTCCCATAATCCCCCGCGCGGCCGCATTCTGCACCAGTTGGAGCCTCCAGGTGTACCCCAAGGGGAGCCCCATGTAGAGAGCGTTACAATAGTCCAGACGAGAGGTGACGAGTGCTTGAGTGACTGTGCGTAGGGAGTCCCGATCCAGAAAGGGGCACAACTGGCGTATCAGGCGAACCTGATAAAAAGCCCCCCTGGCCACGGCCGTCATATGCCCTTCTAAAGACAGCCGTGCGTCCAGGAGGACGCCCAAGTTGCGGGACCTTTCCGTGGGGGCCAATGATTCACCCCCAATAACCAGCGATGGCGTCAGCTGGCTATACCCGGACGCCGGCAGCCACAGCCACTCGGTCTTGGAAGGGTTGAGTCGAAGCCTGTTTCTCCCCATCCAGACCCGCACGGCCTCCAGGCACTGGGACATCACTTCCAAGGCATCGTTGGGATGGTCTGGGGTGGAGATGTACAGCTGAGTGTCATCAGCATACTGATGGAACTCCACCCCAAAACCACGGATGATCTCACCCAGCGGCTTCACATAAATGTTGAACAGGAGGGGCGAGAGGACCGACCCTTGTGGCATCCCACAAACAAGGCGCCTCGGGGTTGACCGCTGCCCCCCTGTCAACACGGATTGTGACCGGTCGGAGAGATAGGAGGAGAACCACTGCAAAACGGTGCCCCCCACTCCCAGTCCCTCCAGCCGGCGCAACATGATACCATGGTCGATGGTATCAAAAGCCGCTGAGAGGTCTAACAGGACCAGGATAGAGGAGTAACCCCTATCCCGAGCCCTCCAGAGATCATCCACCAACGCGACCAATGCCGTTTCCGTGCTGTACCCAGGTCTGAAACCGGACTGGAGCGGATCCAAATAGACAGCTTCATCCAGATACTGTGGAAGCTGTCGCGCCACCACACTCTCAACAACCTTCGCAATAAAGCGAAGGTTGGAGACTGGACGATAGTTAGCCAAAACAGCCGGATCCAGGGATGGCTTCTTGAGGAGAGGCCTCACCACCGCCTCTTTCAAGGCGGCCGGCAGGACACCCTCACTCAAAGAAGCGTTGATAATTCCCTGGAGCCAGCCTCGTGTAACCTCCCGGGAAGCCAGCACCAACCAGGAGGGACATGGGTCCAATAAACATGTGGTGGCGTTCAGCCGTCCCAAGATCCTGTCCATAATAAAAGAAGAAGTTTTCAGAGCTTGAAACCCCAAAGCCACATATACTTCTTATGCACCTATCGAGATTTTGAGACAGTGGTATCAGTTATAGCATTTTTATGAAATGGTATAAAACATCTTACTCTACTACCTTTGACATTCAGTCTTATACAATATAGATGATTCAAGGATAGCTGAATTATTTAAGACAACAAGAAGACACACTTCTTTTTCCACCGTAGCAATTATCTGGTATACAAAAAAATAAATGGCGGTCAATGAAGTTTCACAAAAGAGAATATGGATTTGAATTTGCCACATTCAGTAGCTTAGTGTAGTCCTTCAATGATGCATTGGTCATAGTGTTGAACTATCACTTCTATCTGTTGTTCAACATGGTGTTGTAAACTGTAAGTGCTAACAGCAGAAATATCAAATATATCAGTAAAGAACTCTTTCTTGGAAGAAGAGATGGAACCTTTTGACTTAGAACATTCTTGATCCTTCTCAAAAAGCATTCTTGAAAGGTAAAAAGTTTCTGAAAGACTGGTTGGGCCCAGTCTAGAGAGTAAAAACAACAAAGAATAAAGGGATTTTATCTTAGAGAGTAAAGCAAAGTTTGAAGATAAACTATCCTACAGGATGAAGGTATCACCTGTTCTGGAAAATCAGTGCAGCAGGCTCGGTCAATAGCCAAATAAAGATATGCTTGTATAAGATACTCACATCAGATACTGGAAGAGGTCCTCCTCAGAAACAGAATACTTGGAGGAGACTTCTCTTGATCTGCAGCAAAGTCTTGGACAAAGAATCTAACCTTAAACATTTTTGTGGAAGATGGCACATTTCGTTGAAGCAACAATTATTTATATAAATAAAAATGAGACATCATAGCAAGGTAAGATCTTTTGTAGGAGTTTTGGATTGCAGAGTGGGAAATTCTAGGTTCCAGTTTGTTGTTAGCATCTTGGGATGATAGGAAGGAAACTGGATTGTTTTTAGTCTAGGCCAGGGCTGTCAAACTCCCAGCCCATGGGCTGGATGCAACACACACTGGCCACCCCTACCCCTGGTTTAGCAAAGGGGGGGAAAAGTCCTGATATGTCACACAACTCCACCATGACAACGTGAGCTTGATACCTCTGATCTAGACAAACATTTTATTGTTGGAGAGAACTAGTTTTTATAAGAGGGTAACAGTGCTGAAATAGCCATTGTCTCCTGTTAATGAGAGGTGGGACATTGATGGAATTAAAGCAACTGCCCTTAACTGACTATGGAAGGTCTGCAGTTTTGTGCAGTGACATTGTTGTCTTTCTCTATGATGATGTCTACCTCAGGCAACTGCATGGATCAAATTCCTGCAGTTCTTTACCAGTTTGATCCTTCTTGGGTTGGGATGTGTAATATCCCACTCTTTTCAGCTCAAGAGGATTATGGAGCCTTGTTTTAAAGGCAGAAATTGTTCCTTTGGGCTTGACAGGATTATGTAAATCGAGGAACTGGATCTAGTCCCTGTCATATTTACAAGGTCAAGAAAAAAGCCCTAGAAGTAAGCTCCTAACCAAAAACCTACCTTTGCAAAACATCCTTATGAAACTTGTTTACCTAGGGAGTTTTCCAACTCCCTAGTGTATGCTGATGTTTGGACCTTGTTTCTAAGAAACATTATGAATTGGAGTATCATTTGGTAGTTTCCAGGTCCTCTATATGTGTGTGGGTGTTGTGTATGTGTGTATTCCAATAATACATTTTTTTTCTTAGCTTATCCTTCACCGTAGAAGTACAGCTTCTTAACTACAGTTTTTACCTTTATGTCACCTTTAATAGACTCTTGGAATGTTGAAGGTCTAAGGTCTCCACTTAAAAAATGGATTTATAGTAAATGGGCAGAAATAAAATCTGAAGTAATATTTCTCAACAAGACATTCATATTCTTCTACAGGAGATGGATTTTCAAGCCAGGAGATGGATAGGTCCAACATATTAAATGGTAACTCTAAGTTTCTTGAGAGGTAGTTAACCTACTTTCTAAATTCCTGGTGGGATTTCTAATGAGCAATTCAGAAGGATTAAAAAAATCTTTGTAGATTAAATGTTGCAATTAAAAGATAGTACTGATTTATTACTACAGTTCTACTGAAGGTCACCCAGATATTGTACCAATATGTTTTATATTTTTGTTCTGACTATTTCTCTCATAATTATATCTAGAGCTTTTAGTGGACTGTAGTAGAGTTTCAAATAAAGTGAAATCTAATAATTGCTACAAATCTACTTACTAGAATTTATTTTGGTGGGAGTATAGTTATGTTTTAATCTTTCCCAATATGGATATATTTTTTTCTATTTCTCCAAATTCCTGACCTAATTCTTATTTGTTTCTCAGTCTTCAGCTAATCAAGTGGGCTTCTGCAATGTGCAGTCAACTGCAATTTCTGAACGTGCTCCAATTATACCATTAATTTTTTAAAGAAAGTATAAGTTAATATTCAAAATTTACATTTAAGGACATCAATCATTGGTTAAAAGAATGATGAATCTCACTTTTAAAAAAAATAGAATTTCATTGAATTTAGAGATATATTTGGGACTTTAATAAAGCATATATTTGAGAAGAGTTTATTGTTTATGCTGCTTGGAAAAAGAACAAACAAAAGTTGGAATGTGAAAAGTTGAAAAATAAGGTTAAAATTACTGGCAGTTCCTAGGTTAAGAACGAGTTTTGTTCCCTAACTCGATCTTTAATCTGAATTTATTAGATTATTTTATTATCAGATTAATGTATTAATCTGAAGTGTTAATACTACTTAATAATGCCTTAAGTAAGACCACACTTGGAATATTGCATCCAGATTTGATCGTCACAATATAAAAAAGTCTGTTTTATATATGTTTTATACATATAGCTGTTTTTTTGTTTACATTATGCTTACAAAATGTTTACATTAATGTCATATTTAGCAGTCTCTTGTGTTAAAGGCAAAGATTTTTTTTAATGTCTTATATTGGAGCTCAATATAGAGTAGTTGTCACTACTCTGTAGTGACAAGAAAAGCAAAGTGGGATGATTTCTCTGACCTTGCTATATCTATGAAATGTTGGTTGCACTGTTTAGTCATATAATCTGGAGTTTTCTGAGAAAGATGGGCAGGAGGCTCCACTAAGTGTGAGAGATGATCATTTGACCAGTTATTTTGTAGATGAAATTGCTCATATTTGTCAGGCACAAACAAGTGGACCCACACATGTAAAGTTCAAACTAGCTTCTTTATTATTCTCCCCAGTCTGGTAGCTTTTGGGAAAGACCAGATAAAGCACAAAGGGGAGGGGGTCAGCTCTTGCCCTCTTGTGTTTATATAGTGGGTCTAAGCTAATTTCCTGCTTGAGATCTCTTCTCAACTGGGACAGTTACTCTCCAACATCTTTGCTTTAAGTTATCAACTACTGCCATGGTAATGAGTAAAGACCTTTATGATGTGAAGCCCATCACTTGTGAATCTGATCTCACTGCTAACTAGTCAAAGCAACAAGGAAGGGACTGAGAGTTGGCTGTTATTGACACCTCATTGCCAGAAGGAAAATTTCAGCTGCCTTGAAAAAGATACTTGTCAACTTCTTCCTTGAGGGGTTTTCCTTTAATCAAGCCATCATCTTTAGCTTTTGGAAGAAATGAACCATCTGGACTCTTGGCAGTCAGGATTCAGGTTAGTATATGGAATAGAAACTGCATTGTGAGTGATGATGTATGGTGAGGCATGAAGGGCAGGAATGCAACCGTCCATGTCCTCCTATATCTCCCAGAAGCCTTTACATTGTTGACTAAAGCATCCTTTTAGGAATTCTGCAAAGACTGGAAGTTGGAGGCATCATTTTATGTAGGTTCTGCTTGGTCCTGAACGGGCAGGTCTAGTTGCTGGTAATAGGAGGAGAGAGGTCAATTATTCAGACACTGTAATACAATCTGCCTTGCTTCTCTCCTTATTGTTAACATCTACAGTATATGAAGGAGAGGTAATATATAAACTGCTCAAAAAAAATAAAGGGAACACAAGCAGAAGACATCCGAGATCTGAATGAATGAAATAGCCTTATTAAATACTTTGTTCTTTACATACAGTAGTTTATACACTGCTCAAACAACTAAAGGGAACACAAAACTACTGTAATGAACTATGTAATGAACAAAGTATTTAATAAGGCTATTTCATTCATTCAGATCTCGGATGTCTTCTGCTTGTGTTCCTTTTATTTTTTTGAGCAGTGAAGGCTGACAAAACTTGCTTGCAAGAAGTAGTCCCAGACTCAACTCAAGCAAGATGGAGTGGGGTTGGTTTAGTAACCAACTGATTCTAGGTAATACAGATTTTGGTTTTATATGGGGTTGGCTCTCCCCTGAAAAAGAGGGCTGATAATCTGGACTTCTGCTGAAGAAGGAAGTGGAGAACAAAGCCAGAAAGTCTTTACCCAGTTTTGGCTGGTTCCCTAGCTGCAGGTGTACCTAGACCAGGGGTGAAATCCAGCAGGTTCTGACAGGTTCTGGAGAACTGGTAGCAGAAATTTTGAGTAGTTCGGAGAACTGGCAAATACCACCTCTGGCTGGCCCCAGAGTGGGGTGGGAATGGGAATTTTGCAGTATCCTTCCCCTGAAGTGGGATGGAAATGGAGATTTTGCAGTATCCTTCCCCTGCCATGCCCACCAAGCCACACTATGCCCACCAAACCACGTCCACCGAACCAGTAGTAAAAAAAATTGGATTTCACAACTGACCTAGACAGGATGCTCTGAAGAGGACTACTCTTATTTGCCTTTGGATTACTGTTATTTACTGTATATGGGACTGCCCTTGAAGACCACTTTGACCATTTCAACTGTTGAAAGATACAGCTGCCTGTGTGTTGGTTGGGCAATCATAATATTATTACATAACACTGCTGCTATGGGAACTGCTTTTGTTACCAGTCAGTTCCTGAGGCAGTTCAAAGTGCTGGTTATATATTTCCTAGCAAGGCTTGCGACTTGGGTATGTATCCCAAATAAATTCTGTGCATCTGACCCAGGTGAATAGGAGCACCAACTAAAGGTCTTCTAATTCAGGATGTATGTTGGAAAGGGACCTGGATGTCCTCAATAGGCTCTGCAGACCTGGATCAAGTTGCCCCCTGAAGTATGAATGGCCACTGTTTATATGGTCTCATAGAGAACAGCTAAAACCTGGCTTTTCTGAAAGGCCTTTGGTGTTTAGCAATTATGGTAGAAGAAGACCCGTTCCACTATTGTTCATTATTGCATACAGTTTTATTTTTATTACTGTGTTTCCCTGAAAAGACATTCCCCCAAAATAAGCCCTCCCCCTAAAAATAAAATCTCCCCAAAAATAAGCCCTCCCCAAAAATAAGCCCTTCCAAAAATATTTAAAAACATGCACAGCCGGTCCCTGCCATTTTCTCTGGTTAGGATTAGGGAGATAGAGCTCAAAATCAGGTAAGACGACAAGAGGAGCCCCATCTTGCTCCATGTGCTCCAAAATAATAAGACCTCCCCGAAAATAAGGCCAAGTGCTTATTTTGGGGTTCAAAAAATATAAGACAGGGTCTTATTTTCAGGGAAACGCAGTATCTTGTTCTTTGAACTTTGATTTTTTTTTAATATCACCTAAAACTTCAGGAATGAGGCAATTTATAAGTCCAATAGGTTAAATAAATCACGTTTTCTCTCTATAAAAAAAGAAGCAGAGATTTGGGGGAAGGTGAAATTTCTCCCTGAGCAGCTGACTCAGTTTTTATTGTTATGTTATTTATAATCCAAGTATACCATCACCAATGTTTTTAACATCTACTTTTTTTTTTTTTTAGAACTGAGATCATAATTAATGGTGATCCTATTCTTATCAAATAGACTATCAAATTGGGGTATTTGAAAACCTCACTAAACTAACTCAAGGAAGATTTCTCATATCAAGTGTTAAATTGTTCCAATTTTAAATAGCAATTTGAAATGATCCGAACACACTGAGGAAGTATAGACTTGCAAGGAAATAAGGGGCATGTAGCAACTGATAATTGAATACACTGGAAACAGCTGACAACAATTGAATAGCATCCTACTGGTTTTCTGAATCATTGTCACCCGATAATGATACATTGTATATGTTTGCACAACACGGACCAAGCTATTCTGAATGGTTAATTGGAAAGCAAGCATGACTGTATGTCGGCTTACTGCATTCTATGGCTGATTTAACAATGGTTGGTGGCTTTCCTAGAATTAAACACTGTGTCGAAATGGTAGTTATCGAGTTTTTCATGCACACTTATTAAGTCACAGCGCTAAGAAAATATTGCTCTAGCTGTGTCACCATATGAATCAAGATGTTTCGTCTCTTTGTGTGCTGGGATTGAAGCAATGAATAAGGATAGCACTTACTCATACCGAACAACAGAGCAAAGTATTAATCACAAAAATCAATGCAAGCAATAATTCCAGCCTGATAAATCTCCTCTATCCCCATAGGAATCACGTAACATTAAATCAACAAAGGAAAGAATTTAGGATCAATGTCTAATAATATTACACAAAGTATCTTCATTATGGAACAGGTTATCAGAAAGACATCCCTGCACATGGAATGCTGTGTGTAAGAAGAAAGCTGTTGCTGTTGCAAATGAAGTGTCACCTCTGGAAAAAAAGAAGCCTAGTAGGACAATATCATGGAGGTGACCTGATTCTTATTTTTCCATGTGTAGATCAAACTTTAAACTGCCAGAATGAAGCCACCTTCTTGGCTTTGTCTTTGGCCAAAAATAAGTCATCATTGGTACGTGTTTCTGGTATTACCCGACATACCAGAAGATGGGCCAGGCTCTGCATCTCTCCGCATTCATATGTTGTTATCCACTAACAGCCTCCACTTGAGCATAATACATTTAGGCACTCCAACTCTCCACCTATTCCAAGTTCCTCCAAGTAGTATAAAGGAGGTCATCTCCTTCAGCCATCTCTTCCTTTAATGTTATTCCTTGCTCGATGGTCTCTTTCTTCCATCTTTGAAATCAGTTTTGTTCTTGTGTACCCTCAAGAATGTTTGTTCTTAACATAAAGATGTTCCTAGATTTGAGTTAGCAGGCTTGGGATATTATGTCTGAGAATAGAATAGAATAGAATAGAATAGAATAGAATAGAATAGAATAGAATAGAATAGAATAGAATAGAATAAACTGAGTTGGAAGGGACCTTGGAGTCCAACTTCTAGTCCAAGCCAGGAAACTCTATAGCATTTGAGACAAATGGTTATCCAATCTCTTCTTAAAAACTTCCAGGTTGGAGCATTTACAACTTCTGGAGGCACTCCACTGATTAATTGTTCTAACTGTCAGGAAATATGTGGGGGATCATTCTCTTGCTTGGTTCCCTTGGAATCTGCTGCTATTTCTCTCCTGATCCTAGGTGGGGTAATGCCAGTGAGAGAATATGTTTTCTCAATGGGTGTAGGTTTGAGACAATCTTTCACTAAGCATACTGCTTAGTGCTTACAAGTAACTAGATGTTAGCGTTTGAAGAGAGATACCTAGTTGGAACTAGCATTATTGTTTTTGGCAAAAGGCAAAGATGTTTCTGACATTTTCCCCCCAGAATTTTTAATATATTCAAATTTATTCAAAAAGCTTGCTCTTGATCAATTCAATAGTCATTGTAACCTATGATTATCATTAAGTGTTGTACCTTATGATTCTTGAGGAACGTATCTTTTATGTACACTGAGAGCATATGCACCAAGACAAATTCCTTGTGTGTCCAATCACACTTGGCCAATAAAAATTCTATTCTGTTCTGTTCTGTTCTGTTCTGTTGTATTGTATTGTATTGTATTGTATTGTATTGTATTGTATTGTATTGTATTGTATTGTATTGTATTGTATTGTATCGTATCGTATCGTATCGTATCGTATCGTACTGTACTGTACTCTATTCTATTCTATTCTATTCTATTTCTGTATTTTATCTTGTTTTCATAAAATACCATGGACATTTTTTCTAATGGCAGCACTGAAGTCTTTAAAATTGCTTAAGCATTCTTATGGCTCGTATTTCATATGAAATCATAATGAGATTCAATAGGGTTTCCTTTGTACAGTACCTGGTTTATGATTTGTCACCTGCATGAGTCAAACATGGCATTACAAAATGATAGAAAAATTATACCTCCCGAGGTCTGACTGGCCTTGGGTGGAAAGTGCTTTTTCTTTAAGCTAAGTGATACGCTTCACCTCCGTTGGCTAGGATTCCATAATGCGCTAAGCAATAAATAATAAAACATGCTTTATTGAATATTTGTGCAGAGTGGCATGTAATTAGCCATCTTCGTGTTTTTGAGGTACAAATAAACTTCTACTTCTGAGGAGTTTGTAATAAACAAACAAAAAGTTAGAACTGAGCAAAGCTAGCTAAGCCAAAATTAAAACAATTTCAAGTAGTGGGCATGAGAAAAAGCTGGCATTTGAAGGTGGTGCACAGAAATCAAAGCTGAGAAAACTCCAAAGAGAAAAATGAGCAACACTCTTAGAGCTGAGCTCATTTTTTCCCCCAGAAAAACCATTAAGAAGAGAAGACAGCATTGATCAAAATTGAACAGTGATCTGAAACAAAACGAATTCCAACTTTTCACTGAAACTTACCTGAATCTCTTGAGGCTTAGCAACTGATCAATGGCATCGAGTCACACAGAACCATTGAGAGCAGAGGACTTTACTGACAAAACAGTAAAACTGTTTTTGTGCTCAATTGGTAATAACTATGCCAGAAAATTGGGTTTTCCAAAGATAAATCAGGTTTGAGTGGCCCTTTACGCCCTGTTCCACAACCCCAACTTCATACAGTTAAGGATAATGTTCTGGATTCCAGTCACTGATCTATAATATTGGGGGCATAGTGGCTGCACAACACACATACACACCAACAGACTATTCCCAGACAGAAGAGGACTGACCAACTTCTCGGGGTTTGGACTTCCCCACTTATCCAGAAAATAAGCTACTGTTTCTGCTGTTAATTTTTAAAGATTTGTTTTGTTTTGTGAGTTTGACATGTTGCTTATTGTTACTCTCTCTGGGCATGATCTTAGTCTCAGATTCTACTTAAAAATGAAAAAGAAAAGAAAAGAAAGTATTTTGCTTCGCTTCTAAGTTTGGTATTATTTACATTCCTTTCAGTGCACTCTGTGCACTGTGGGTGTCAATCTGTATAGTGTGCGGTCTTTATTCTATCCTAGCTGTTCCTCTGCAAATAATCTTGAGTGATTTTTGGAATATAGGAAATTATTAAAGGCAGAAATTATTAAATTTATGCAGACTAGACACATTGATTGATTGATTAAAATGAAGTCAAATTTTATCTTGGATAGCAGGTATTCTGATAATACTTATGTGATTAGATTTGTATGCATGTTTATGGATAAGGAATACTATTTTTGGAATTGTCCTTTCAACCAAACTGGAGCCGAGATGTGCCCAGACACTTTTCTGGAATGGCTGACTTGTTCAATGTATGGCATCACATCTAAGGAAAAATCCTACAAAAGCAGCTCAGTTATTCTTTCTACAATTCATATTAGTGTCTTGGGTCTAATGAATAGATCATTGATCCTAGCCATGTGGTAAAAACATTACAGGCAAGACATAATATTTTTATAGTAATATAGAAGGGTACAAACCCCAAATCTGATAGGGAACTCTGGGATTTGCAAATAATTCCAATGTATCTGAAGGATTTCCTTGGGGTTGTTTGTGGATAGTGGGATGTTTATAGTAGAGTGATACATTTGGAAAGGCATTCCCAGAAACCAGTTTCTGCTGTCTTCTGGAATAATTGAAGCTTTCAGTTTGTCTTATGAGCCGATAGATAAGTCAGCCAGTGTGTTATAGTGAGAGCCAATGTGATCTCATAGTTGAGGTGTTGGGTTTGCTTTGGGGAAACCCAAGTTCAAGTCTACCCTCAGCCCCAAAAAGTTGCTGGGTAACTTTGGGCAAATCATTCTCTTTCAGCCCAGCTTGTCTGGCCAAGTTTTTGCAGTAGTAAAAACAATGTGTCCTTTTGAATTCCCAGACACAAGGTGGGAGATCTGTCAAAGTAAAGTTTTCTTACTTGAACCTATTGAATAAAGGACTAATCCAAATGTTGTAGATAGTATTTTTCAACAATCCATGCTGCAAATGAGGCATAGTTTTCTACTTCTAGTATTGCGTGATAATTCTTTCAGCCAACCCCTAGTCCTGAAAACCCCACAAGTTCTGATATCTCGATTCCATATTCAGGGGTTCAGACAGGAAGAACATAGGCATATTTGACATATAGTAATTGTTTCATGGTTCTATGTCAGTCCAAAATGCAACAATACCGGGGCCAAACAACACGAATTACATTTCCAGCAACAGGATGTCCTTAATCAACCCTTATTGACCAATCCTTAATCAACCCTTATCAGCATTCTCTGGGATAGCCATTTTTGTTGTATTGATCTCATTTTGAGAACATATGAAATCAATTTCACATTATTTAGTGCAAGACTCTATTGGTTTATCAGACACGACTTTGAAACTTGTAATTCCATGATACTGTAAATAATTAATATCAATTTCATCAGCTTCCTTCAACTTCCTATACGAAACAGTTACTGCAGTGATGAAATCAATTTTTTTTTACTACCAGTTCTGTGGGCGTGGCTTGGTGGGTGTGGTGTTGCTTGGTGGGAGTGGCAAGGGAAGGATACTGCAAAATCTCCATTCCTACCCCACTCCAGGGGAAGAATACTACAAAATCCCCATTCCCTCCCCACTCCTGGGGGAAGGATATTGCAAAATCTCCATTCCCACCCTACTCTGGGGCCAGCCAGAGGTGGTATTTGCCGGTTCTCTGAACTACTCAAAATTTTCACTACCGGTTCTCCAAACTGCTCAAAATTTCTGCTACCGGTTCTCCAGAACCTGTCAGAACCTGCTGGATTTCACCCCTGAGTTACTGGCTTAGGAATCACCATTAATTACTCAAAAATATCTTATCACCACTGAAATTCAGAAGTAGCAACCATATCTGGAAGTCCTAAAGCAAATTAAAAATGTTTAATTTGAATAAACTGTCAAGATGTGCTCTGAGATAAGGCAAACTTTAAAAAAAAACAATTCTGAAAAAGCTTTATAAATAGCTACTCAGAACTGACGTGATTCAATTATTAATGTTGTGAAAACACCCTTTATACAGATCAAGATGCTACTTTAAAGTAAGGTGTAACATAATCTTTTTATGCACACATGAATCCCCCTTGTACTCACTCCAGTGGCTGGCTCATGTTAACAGAACAGCAGCTGTTCCATGGCCCTAAAACCCCATATACACACATTCTGGTCAGCTTCTCTGTCCAGGTGATAGTCCAGTTCAACTTGTGTTAGTATGGAACATGGCTCATTCCACTTCCTCCCATTATCTGAGCAATCTGGAACATCTCCAGTTATCTGGTACTTGAAAAAAAATCGAATGACATTATTATTACTACATTATTATTAGATTTTTAAAATCCCACCTTTATTATCTTTTATAAGTTAGTAAAAGTGGCGAACATACATGTACCTAATACTTCTTCCTCCCTCTGCTTTCCCACAATAATAATCCTGTGAGGTTAGTTGGGCTGAGTGAGTGATTAGTTCAAGTCATGGCTAAGGCAGGACTTGAACTCACAGTCTCCTGGTTTCTATGCCAGCACATTAATCGTTTACATCAAAGTGGCTCTCATTGTGATGCCTATAATTTAAATGTTTAATCAGAGCATGATATTTGCAGGCATAATGGACAATTTTTAAATGCTTTCATTCATGACATAATTTTCAGGCTTTTTTTTATTGCGAAGCTTATCATGTCAGATTATGTTCATTCTTTAATGTTGTTGTTTGTATTTGTACTATTCTTTTTATGATTAGTTTACCATAATAAAATAAAATTGAAAACTGTTTATGGTTTCTAATAGTCCAATAAGAGTACATTCATTTTTTTCCTGCTATTTATGTCTAAAAAGATAATGTACAAAATGGTGTTATTTACTGTCTATGGATTGTATTAGTGTAAGTAAATATTCACTCAGTGAACAAGATACTATATGTGAGAATAAATACATGCTCTCAAGCACATAAGCAATAAAGGCAAAATATACTAAAGTGCTTAACGGGAAGGGGTTTGTTGTTATATCTCTAATGGCATAATCAGTAGAGCAAAATGCTCAGGATGCAATGGTTGAGGGAAATTATTTATATTAATTATTCAGAGTTATTTCGGGTCAAAGCATACTGTATATTCATAACTGACATGGTGGGATTATATTCTTCCAAAGCAAAATTCTTTCAATCTTTGCAGGACTGTTGCAATTTAGGAGGAAAAAAAATAACAGTTTGCTTTATATATATTTAATGTGGACAACCTTACAACTGTGTAAAGGGTCAAGATAGTACCATACTATATTGAACTGATTAAAACTACAGCTGGGTTCTGTCAGTTCTGGTTTTTCTATATAAAAAAAAGATACAGTATCTGGTGCCAGGATTCTCAAACTTGGCTTCATTAGCTCACTTCTGAAAATGCTGTTTTTGTATGTTCATATCAGCTTGCATTTGATTGTGTCATTGGTTGTGCTTTATGTGGATGTATCTTTGAAAAACTGAATATGTAATGAATAAGTAAAATAATAATTCCGAGGTGTAAAAATTCTAGAAGCAATTAGGACTGGGGAGAGAAGAAAGATATTCAATGAAAGACATTTATTATGGTCCTGTATTTGTTTCTTTTACTTCCATGTTAATACTGTTGCACATTGTGGTGAAACTGAACCTAAAGAATACAGATTTACCTGGAGGAAACAAAATGACATTGTTCTTATTAGCCCCACAAACTGGCAAAGCAAATACAGGTAATTCTCGACTTACAAGAGTTTGTTTAGTGACTGTTGTTTTAGTGTAATGGCACTAAAAATGTGATTTATGACCATTTTTCACACTTATGACCATTGCAGCATCCCCATGGCCATGTGATTTACATTTTGGATGCTTGATAAGTGATTCACATTTATGACGTTGTAGTGTCCTGGAGTCAGGTTTTTTTTGCAACATTCTGACAAGCAAAGTCCATGGGGAAGCCAGATTCACTTAACAACTGTGTTACTAATTTAACAATTGCAGTGATTCACTTAACAACTATGGCAAGAAAAGTCGTAAAATGGAACAAAACTCACTTAACAAATTTCTCACTTAGCAACATAAATTTTGGGCTCAATTGTGGTTGTGAGAATTGCCTGTAATAGAAGCATCTGTTGTGATTTTCTTGCAGTACAAACCAGAAACCATAGCTTGTTTTCCTTCTAAAAGAATAGAGTTGCATGCCAAGGTTTGCTCTGACTTTGGATTCTTAATTAAGACCAAAGCAACGTTCCCAGTTTCCATATGATGGCAAAGAAACAAGAGGAGTAACTTTCATGGCTATTTTTTCTTAGCTCTTCCAGCAGTTATCAGCTGAACTCACTATAATATATGGAATAAGTAAGCACTGAAGGAGCAAATTAGTTCTAGAAGCCAGAACAATTAATGTATTGTTATATCTATTGTCAAATGTCACTGGCCATCAACTATATTCAGCATAGTTAATGTTAATATGTGGGTTAAGCATGTCAGAATTGTTCGGCTATTTCTTCCCTGCGGCCATCCTTAATCTCTCTCACTTGTTTCTAATTACCTTGTGAATCTCAGCAATACCTTCTTTACGAACATCCGTGGGGTCCAGAATGTACAGCAATGATGACACTCAAACCAAGTCCTTTTTTCCAATTTACTCTAAAACGTACAAGAGCTGCTATAATCTTACTGTAATAGTAAATAACACTCCCAGAAATCTAATAAGTAATCTTAGAAAGAGCGCAGAGGAGAACAACTAAGATGATTAAAGATCTTGGAGACTAAAACATATGAAGAAAGGTTGGAGGATTTGGGTTTGGCTAGAATAGAGAAGAGAAGGGCTAGCGGGGACATGATAGTTATAGATTGACCTTAGTTAATCCTTGGATGGGATAGGATCTCTTGTTTAAGCAGGGGGTTGGACTAGAGACCTTTAAGGTCCCTTTCAACAGTTACCTTATGTTTCTTGACAAATGTATCTTTTCTTTTATGTACACCCAGAGCGTAGGCACCAAGAAAAATTCCTTGTGTGTCCAATCACACTTGGCCAATAAACTATTCTATTCTATTCTATTCTATTCTATTCTATTCTATTCTATTCTATTCTATTCTATTCTATTCTATTCTATTCTATTCTATTCTATTCTTCTGTTATTCTAATAGCAGTCTCCCAGTATTTGGGAGGCTGCCACAAAGAAGAGGGGGTCAACTTATTTTCCAAAGCACCGGAAGGCAGGACAAGAAGCAATGGATGGAAAGTAATTAAGGAGAGAAGCAACCTGGAATTGAGGAGAAACTTCCTAACAGTGAGGAGAACTTCCTAACAATTAACCAGAATTGTCATGTCGTATTTTATGATCGGGAAAGGAAAAGAAAAACTACGATACCCAACAGCCTCAGCGAGAGTCCCGGAAATGTTCCCTTGCCGCGCGCTCCTCCAGGACGCTGAAAGACGGTCCGCGCGGGTAATTTCGAGCCCGGCGGGGCGGGAGAAATAAAAGTTTGGGTAGTTGTAGCTGAACGTGATGTCTTTCCCGGTGACTGAATTGCGGTGGCCCAAGCACCTTCTCCCGCTGCAAGTAAGTAGAGGCGGAAGGGAGCCCAACATAAGGCGCGGGCTGCGTTAATGGCGTGAATTAGGGGTACGGAGGATGTCCCTGATCCTGGAAGGGATGATGGTTTAATGAGAAAAGTGCTTTTCCTTCTGCGAAAGATCTAAGCTAGAACCTTGGCGTCCCTTCCGTTAAAAGCTTAAAGAAAGAAGAAAAAAACTAGTGCAAATTAACATAAAGGAAGGAAGGAAAAAGAAATAAATCAAAAAGTTAAAAGTGCAAGAAGAAAAAAGAAAAAAAAAGAAAAAGATACAGAGAAGTGGCTTCTGATCTTTTGCAACGATTATAAATTTAGTTATAACTTTACCTTTTCCCCTAAGGTTACAACGTGACTCTTTTTTATAATCTTGTCTAATCATCAAAAAACATGCATCATAACTTCATTTTGTTTCTGTTTTATGCCAAAAGAGGTTTCCAGCCAGCAATAAATATAAATATTATCTTTTCTCTCATCAAAGAAGTCAATTTGGCCATCTCAGCAAGTTCCAACATCTTCACTAACCATCCCCCCTCGGAGGTATTGCTGAGTTAGTGTCTTTTCCGAAAGTCTGGCAGGCTTATATTTTCAGTGAATAGAGATCGGAAAAGGCAAAATCTGTTTCCATTTGTTCCTGAGTTGTGGTATCTTCTTAAACAAATATTGCTTGCAAATATTCTGGAAGTGGTTGGCTTCTGCATTTTTCCAGACTAGCCTGGAGCTATAATATTACACCCCCCTCCCCTCCCCATGATCTCCCATCCCAAGTACTGAACACTCACTTAAACTGCAACAGTAATTTTTGGCATCTCAGCTTTTTAGTTCTGCTAGTACTCCTTAGTAAAATATTAACTGTAGTTACATAATGTGATTTTACATAAGAGATGGCAAAGTTGTTGGGGTGTGACACCATAACATGTAAATGAAGCCTGTATCAAATCAAAACAAAAGCAGCAAACTTTAAAGCATAAAAGGAGGATTTATCAGGCCTCAAAGCAAGAAGAATTAAAACCCCCAATACAAACCCCCAATTTAATTTGTTACGTCAAGGACATAAAAAAAATAAAAGTTGATTGCATCTGCAGCCTTAAAGTAGCCCCACATTTGAATTGATTGATTATTAATTAAATTTATTTCTGTGTCACATGGTTACCCTGTTCAAGAAATCAGCCTGGCTGCGAGTTTTCTTAGTCCATTCTGGATCTCCATTCTCCCTGCTTTTTTAACTGAAGTATTTTGGAGGGATCATTGCCTTCAGGTATTATTTCAAAAAATATTTTGTACTTTTGCAGCTCCTATTTGTCTTTTGACACTGCCTTTTTGTATGCAGATGAATATTTGGCAATTGTGGTTTCTATTAGTACATTTTGTGATTGATGCACATAATTCCAGCGGCTGTGGAGGAATGTTGAAGGGAGTATTAATAGCCATGCAATCTAATAATGCTAAATATGTAATAAAATAGTTAATCTCATCTGATCAGCTTCATGATGTCTTTGTAGCATTTACTGACAGGGTTCAGAAAGCCTTCTGTCTGAAACCCTGGAGTGCATCTTATAGTCATTGTAGATAACCTTGTGATCTGATTGGGTCAAGATGTATTGCACATTACATTTCCTTCCCTGTTGCATTTGCAGTTAGATCTCTGACATATGGTAATATAACTTTTTGTGGCTAAGTTAAATTGCTGCTGGTTCATATCTTTTGTATACAGATAGTTGAGAAAGCTTTTAGAGCATTTGTGCAAGGTTTGCAAAAGATATGGCATATGAATAATTTTGCATACTATTACAAATGAATTTTTGAAATGGGTTAAAATACATATTTCTGATGTTTTAAATATTTTTTCCTTCAATCACATATAAAACTCCAATTGGTACCATTTTTTAATGATTCAGGGAGTGGATTTTTAGGGTATTGGGGACACAGCTTGTGTATTTCTGTAGTAGACAAGTTGATACTATAAAGCAGCTTCTCATATTCTCCCAAATCCTAGTCAAAACAACTATAGACCAGGGGTGTCAAACTCAAGGCCCGTGAGCGGCTGTCCCGAGCTCCACTTTCACCGGCAGAGGGTTGCAGGAGGACGTGGCAGCTGAAAACAGAGCTTGGGAGCTTGTTTTCACTGGCAGAGCGCTCGGGCCACCACAGGTGTCCCCAACAGAAGTGATGTCGAGCTGGCCATACCCACTCTGGCCACGCCCACCCCGGCCCCCTGAGATCAAACACAACCCTGATGCGGCCCTCAGTGAAGTTTGACACCCCTGCTTTAGACTAAGCAGTGCCATTTCCCCACTGATATATGTGGGGAATATGCTCTGTGGACCACAGGCTGAGAACTGGACTAGAGGAAGATACTTAAGCCATTGAAATTAGGTTCTCCCTGTTACTGATATGGTTTAAGGTTGCAGATGGAATTTCTAGGGTGCTGGTATAAAGAACCATGTTGTTTTTTTCATTCTTAGCTGTTCATTTAATTCCTTGGATGTGTTCTTAAATTAATAGTTAACTTAAATTAACTTCAATAATCTTAAAAAGCATAATGTTCTATAGATATTATTAAACCATACTCCCAGTGTTGACTGTAGTCATTGGAAAAGGGCAGAATTAGAGGTAATAGGTTTTTTACGCTATGACTTTCTTACAGAAAAGAATGGAGTAGCTATTCCCCCCAAGATATTTCTGAGCATATTAATCCTAATAGTATACCTCCAGGATTTAATCTACTCCGACACATATGGGTGACATACAATAGAATTAGAACGACTCATGGAGTGTGTGCCGACTCCTTGTATAAATGGGGAAAGACACCTTCAGCACAATGCGATTACGGGGACAGACTATCCAACATATAGTGAGGGAATGCTCTAACAGAAGGTCTCCAGGAGATTTTAGGGATTTCCCTGCGTAACAACAACAGTTACTGACTGGATCTCCAAACTCGACATAAAACTCTGAAATGTTATTTCTGTTTTCCTCTTAGGTTTTCTTACTGCTGTTTTTCTAATTGTTTTGTTTTAACCTGTAAAAATGAAATGTTTTAATATTGTGTGTGACCAGCCATACGCTAAAAAAAATAAAAGAACAGAAAAACAGAAAAGAATAGGAATTACATTCAATTTGTTATTTTTTTCCAGTGAGTACTTTTGCAAAATGACTTTTCAGCTTACTCTGTATATAAATACTGTAATTTTTAAAATGTATTTCAGGAAGTTGATAACTTGTTGCGTTGTGGGATATGCTTTGATTACTTCAACACTGCGATGATAATTCCACAGTGTTCACATAATTGTAAGTACAGAAATGGTTTCCTTCCTCCTGTCTTTTTTTTTTTTTTTTTATAATTATGTATTTGGTCTCTCACTATTTGCTATGATGAAGACATATCTAATGCCTGGCTTTTAACTGTTGAATTATTTTAGTATTTATTTTAAGCTGTGTTTTTAGCTTTCTTTATTATATTCTTAAGTTCTGATAGCCATCTTAAGTACTCATAAGAACAGAAAGGCATAATGCATCTTGAATTATACCCAGAAGCTTATAGGGAACCAGTGTTCAGTGCACAGATTGCCTCAGTGTACTTTTTCCTTCTAACTGAATGATTATGAGCAGGGTGGATAAAAATCAATGATTTTTTTTAAAAAATAAAAAAAATCAGATTTTTTTTATTTAAATTGGATTTTTTTGATTTAAATCATTTTTTTTGATTTAAATCGAATTTATTTTAATAAAAAACTTTTGGAGTAAACTATCGTAAGATTGCTTTCTATTTAAAATACATAAATAATTTAGTTTATTCAGCATGAAATGGAGCTTAGTTATGTAGCATGAGGCTGTATATTCTGCAACACAGGGACTATCGGTGAGTCAACAATAGGTCAAAGGAGTAGCAGAGATGACAGTTGCTCTTTAAAAATTATGATTTAAATCGAGTTGATTTAAATCAAGCATTTTTACTAGTGATTTAAATCATGATTTAAATTGTGATTTAAATCAACTCGATTTAAATCAAATCCACCCTGATTATGAGCAATCATATTTGATGGTATCAGCGTTTTGACATTGTGTGACACTAGGTCACCAGATGGGAATTCTCTCCTTCATTCAGCATTTTCATGGGAAAGTTGAATAGCATGGAAACAGTATGAAAATGGAACCACAGTAAAACATTCCCCAGGTTCAATCCTTCTAGCCATTGGCAATTCAGAAGTTTACGATAGTTGAGGATAAATAAACAACACTATATGTTTTGGTTCTCCAACTCAATTGTATGTTTAATTCCTCAGAGAGTTTATATAGTAAAGCATGTTGTAAATGTGAGAGTGTGAGGTGGGTCATATCAAAGAAAAATCAGCCAATCAATATTTGTGGATATAAATGGTGAGCTTTATGAGTGGCTAAGGAGCCTGGAAAAAAAATCTTGTTTTACACTTTGTCTTATAATTTTATAGCTTTATAAACACTACATTTTCTAAAGCCAAGTCAGTGATCTGGCTGGCACTTATCCTTCTCTCGTTCCATGTAGGAATCCATTCTATGTTGAATGATCCTAAATATTTTGCTAACATATGAAATAAAGATGTTGTGTTGTAGTTTACACAATCAGTTAGGTTTCCTTTCTTTGGTATACATATGTAGATTGACCTCTTCCAATCTACTGGCTACAATTGTTCTCCACAGTTGTTGCTACACCTCAGTTAAAATCTTCACTGATTATTCTTCTGTTCCAATTGATATTCTATCGATTGTATGGGCTTCAATTTGGTAATGACTAGAGGATCTAGTTGATCTATTCATCTTCTAACACTAGGGTCTTGGAATATCAGTCAAAGTATCTTGGATATTGACATCTTTGCTGTATAAAATTTCAGCATATGCTTTCTTTGATCTTTGAATCAGTTGTTATCTGTCCATTGGCTTAAATTAATAACTGTCCATCTCCTTTAGCATAACAATTGAAAGCTGAAACTTCCCTCTGAGTTCAGAAATCTTTTGGAATAGTTTCCTTGTTTTTCCATGTCTATTTTCCTCTTTGATGTCTTTATGGATGTTGTATAATAATGCCTCTTCTTGTCTCTTCTAACAGCTGTCTGAAATTCTTAAATTCCTTTCTGAGATGCTGTTTGCAGCTTCACATTTTCTTTTCCTGCATGGCAATATCAGCTACTAGATGTCCCGAAGGCTTTAATCTAGCCATGTTATAAACACCATTAGTACGGTGGGATCCACAACTCTCTCTGAGTAGCATGTTGAGAGCTGTCTGGCCTAGGGCCCATCATCCAGCACTATATCATCAGTCATTTTGTATTTTCTATCCATTTGGTTTTCTTGGTGAGATTACTAGTGCTGTGTAGTATGAATGGATATCTTTGCTATAGACAGTAAGTGATTATCTGCCTCCAGCATCTTCCTATATTGCTTGTCCCCAATAAAGGTGCCTGCTTGCTTTAGCTACATACTGGGTATGCAAGTAGTCCTTGACTTATAACCATAATGGAACCTACCTATTATGGTTTTAAATCCTGACAGTTGTAAAGTGGGTCATCATGAGATTGGACCCAGTTTTACAATCTTTTTTGTGGCAGTCATTAAGCGAACATCAGCCTTCTAAAGAAAATGCAGTGGTTTTTAAGCAAACTCATTGTTTTTAGGCAAACACCATAAATGTGGGTCAGTTGTCGAGTGCCCAAAATGTGGTCACATGACTGCAGAAGGTATAATTGTTGGAACTTCAAAACCAGGTCTTAACTGTCTTTTTTTTTTGGGGGGGGGAGGAGGAATCTCTTATAACTTCAGATGGGTGCCAAGCAATCTGTCGTAAGTGGGAGGCTAACTGCTTAGCATATGTTCTCAACATTATTTGCTCATCGTTCTTAGAAATCATGATGAGGAAACATAGTAGGAGAATAATGGAGATTGTGTTTAAATTTCTAGTCTGCTTGAAGATGAACGGGTAGGAGAAGAGCAGGCAGACCTGGGGGTGAGTGGGTGGCGGAGTTAAATGCATCATCAACTTAGATTTGTGCATTCCCACAAGCACTCTTAAGTCTAACCTCTCCTGAGTTTCATTGATCCTTATCTGGCACTAATTTAGGATTCAACTTTAGTTGACCAGATTCTTGTGTATAGGCTTGAATAAATCTATGCTGCAACCTAACTGATGGTCCTGATTCTTTGTGCCTGACAGTACTTCATTATAATATAACTCAGAGTTCCAAAACTTATCCAGGTTGGTGGTCTGGAGTGGGAGGAGAGAAGAAAGGAGGGATAGTTTTGTGGGAGGGGCAGGTGCATGTGTACGTGTGTGCACACACACACAAGCACCCATTGCTTGTGCAAGGAGGGTCACTAGTGCCCACAATGCTCGCATGAGTGGGGCTGTGAGCATTGCACACATGCGCACCAGCCGGCCACCCATGCGGCCCAGTTGTGAATAGGCCATGGCCCGGTAGTGGGCCGTGGCCCACAGGCTGGGGACTCCTGATTACCCATTTTATTCTACACTGTTATTTCTTTAATCAGTTGCCAAATTCTGTGACTTGTCAAACTCACAGAATTTGGCAACTGGCTAAAGAAATAACAGTGTAGAAGAATAAAATATGTAATAAACATTAGAGGTCATTCATAATTTTTTGATTCAAATACTTATGTGAAAATAGAAGAATTGGTTACAAAAGTAACTGACACATTTGAAATCCAAGTCCTATTGGAACATTCCTCTGAGCCTTGGATGAAAATATTGATAGAACAACTCACCTGTTGATGATGTAGAGAGTGTGAGCGGTTACACTCTGCTCATGGAAAGACTTCTGAACAGAGCTTAAATAGATTTTAATGCTAGTGAGGAATATAATTTGAATTCTTTGTACTATGTATTTTGCTTTTACAGCAATTATATCTACTTAGAGAAAAACAGTGAAATTAATGGATTTTCAAAGGCAACAGGCATGCTATCTGATTTGAAAGCTGTTATGTGCTGTATTGTGACCTAAATGCTAATTACTTTTTGTAAAATAGTTTTACAAAATTATTTACTGGCCAAAATAATGTTTCTCTTGACAAATGAAGTCCATTCTATGCTGCTTGGTTGATAATTATAAATGTTGATTATTTGTATCATTAATACTACTCCATTTTTTAAACCCATGACTTGTTATGTGATTTTAAAGAATGGCTAATTTTAGAGACATGGATTTTCTTCATGGTATTCTTTTTTTTTTTTTTAAATTTGATTTATATGCCGCCCTTCTCCGAAGACTCAGGGCGGCTTACAATGTTCTGTTTTGTTTTTTGTTTCATACGGAAAAGTGTGCTTTGGTTTAATGTACTTTCATTAGGGATATTCAGTTCTGAAAAGATTAGGATTTTTCCCAGCCATTCTAGGTGTATTGGTCTGAAAACTGAAAAATTATATGGTTAACTTGTTGCATAAAGACTAGTCCTTCAGATCTGGACTGCAAAAATCAGAACTTCTAGACGGCAGCAGAAAGTTAGAATTTTCTATATAAAGGATGATAGTAGGTGAGTTGAATAGTAATAGCAGCAGCAGCAACAATAATGATAATTTGTAATGAAAGAAAAATGGGGCCACAGAAGAAATAAGTGAGATTGGAATGATCTGGTTTGCTGTTGGAGCTAGATAGAGTTACTGTTGATTGTAAGGATGACAGGCAAAAAATTGCAGAGTTAGAAAAATCAAAGGCAAAGGTGGTTGCAGAGGATAATAGATGGAGTCTGGTTTTTGAGTGACCTAACTTGCCAAGAATAGTGAATTTGTGTTGGTTGCTGACCTGATTTGAGTGGTCACCCGGAGGATTGAGTTTCAGACTGGAGGAGGATTAAGTTGCATATTAGAGAAGATGGTGAAGCGTAGGCTGAATGCCATCTTTAGAGGCCATAGACAGGCAAAAGAACAATTGAGAAATGAAAGGAACTGGGGTACCATGAAGCAGATAGAAAGATACCAGGATACAAATGGGCCAGGAATGAAGGAATAATGGTGTAGGTGAGAAGGTAACTAAATGGAGCTGGAGGACAGGAGAAGGGAAAAAACCTCAGAATGTATGTATAAAAAAATTGAGAACAGTGGATGATATTTGAGATGGTTAAGTTGTGATGATTTACAGTGCTGTGTTTTGACTGTGAAATGTTTTGTATGTTTGAAGGGTCTAGTTTTATACATTATTTTATAAAATAAATACCAGGAGCCCTGGTGGCGCACTAGTTAAAATGCATTATTGCAGGCAAACTTTGCCCATAGTCTTGAGTTTGAACCTGACCAGCCCAAGATTGACTTAGCCTTCCATTCTTCTGAGGTAAGTAAAATGAGAACCCGGATTATTGGGGGCAATATGCTGACACTTGTAAACCGCTCAGAGAGTGCTGTAAAGCATTATGGAGCAGTATATAAGTCTAAGTCAGGGATCCTCAAACTTTTTAAACGGGGCCAATTCATGGTCCCTCAGATTGTTGGGGGACCAGACTCGCTGGGCAGGCGTGGCTAGGTGGTCATGTGATTGGCTGGGCATGGCCAATTTAGCAGTCCAAACAATACACACAAATTAAACTTTAATATGTTATGTTCTTGGGGTTGGAAAGCAGGTTAGTGAAGGGATGTGGCTGCCTTGGGGTGCGTATGAGGGACTTGTGTGTGTGTGTGTCTCCCTCCCTCCCTCTCTCTCTCTCTCTCCCCCTCTCGGGAGGCTGGGGAGGCCAAAGACGGCCCGTTTTTGGCCTCCTGAGACCTCCGCATGTCCCATTTTTGGCCTCCCCGGCCTTCAGTACCACTCTGATACCAAAAAATGAGCCCGTTTTTGGCCTCCTGAGGCAGCCGTACATTCCAGTTTTAGCTTCCCTGGCCTCCAGTAGCATTCTGCCGCCCAAAAGCGGTCCTGTTTTTGGGCTCCTGAGGCCTCCACACATCCTGTTTTTGGCCTCCAGAAGCGGTTATCTGGCCCGTGGGCCGTAGTTTGAGAACCCCTGGTCTAAGTGTTATTACTATTGCTATTAATGATTTATGATTAAGATTGTTTTTATAATTATTATGCTAACACTGAATTTATATCACTTCTGTAAGCTGTGTAGAGTCATAGTGATTGAAGCAGAAAAGAAATATCTGAAATAAATAAGATAGTCATTTCATTTGCTAGTCTGCCTTACCTAATTTCCTCCACTGTACTTTGCGGGTATAATTATTGTGAGAAATACTTACTCATTTGGATACAGAGAAAAGATTTTTAAAAGTTGTACTAATAAAATGAAAGACATTTTGAAAGGTATAAATCACATTTTGCCTATAGAAAATCAGATCTCATGATTTGCTCTTTTGTGCTCTGTTTTGCTTATGTTTTTGTATGTATGTTTTTTCTTACAGTTTGTTCTCTCTGTATTCGCAAGTCGCTGTCCTATAAACCTCAGTGCCCTATATGCTGTATGGTAGGTGTGCCTTTATCATGTTAAAAATGTTTTTAATTTTACATCTTACTGCCATCTGCGCTTTTGAGCATTTTAGGCTTTTGAGCATACAATGTGGAATAATGTGTAGGTAACTTTACAGAAGGTATGCGGGAGGAAATAAGGCAAGATAAGAGACAATTTAATCCTGGGAAAAGAAAAGGTGTAAAAAAGGACCTCAGAATAGTTCTGTTTGAGCCTGTTTTGTAAAAGAAGGGGCAAAGGAAAGCCACAAGCCTTTCAAGATGCTGTTATTATTATGCATTACCATAATACTAAAAAAGGAGAATATTTGTAGCTCAGGGTTGAAATGAAGGGAACTTGGTGCTCTCTGAGCCTAGTTGTTTTCTTGCAGATGTTTCATTACCCAAACTAGATACCATCATCAATGCTGGTTTGGGTAATGACACATCTGCAAGAAAATAACCAAACTCAGAGAGTCCTCTTACCATAGTAAAGTTCACTCCTATACTTCTTGTAGTGTTTCCTCACCTGGTTTACTTTGAAGGATTGATGTATAACTGTGCCCCAGATATTACCAGATGTGATATCTTTTTTGTGAGTTGAGCCATAGGTTTCAGTGAGGATTGTTGCTCATTTATCTTCCTTCCTGCAATGTAGCAGCATCCCTGACTGCACTTCTGCACTTTGTCTGGTTGGCAGTGGAGTTCCCCAGAATTATGGTTCTGGGGAACTTCAGTCTCTTTTCTCTGGATCTGGGATCTGAGGTAGTGTGGGTATGCATGGCCACCATGCATTGTCAGATAGGCTTAATTAAGATGTTTATGAATGCTGATGTTACAAGTTTGATATTATAAATTACTTTGGAAAGACAGCAGTTTTGACTAGAAATTCCTTAAATAAATTTATTTTAACCCTTAGCAGCCTTTTTAGTGATACTACCATGTTTTCCCGAAAATAAGACCCTGTCTTATATTTTTTTTGAACCCCAAAATAAGTGCTTGGCCTTATTTTTGGCGGGGTCTTATTATTTTGGAGGTGCAGGAGGTGGCAAGTGTGGTCACCTCATGGCTGCTGCTGTGTGTGGCGCTGCTGCGGCGGTGCAAGACAGCTGTTCGTCAGCTGTTCGTCCCTGAAGCTCTTCCCGTCCACGCCTGCATCCTCCTGTCCCTGAGCCTGGCTCTTTGGGAGCCCACTCACAAGAGAGCAGCCGCCCGGCACCTAAACCCGCACATGCACAAATGAAGTTTTGTGAGCTAGCCTGCCACTTGTGTGACCCAATTCCCAACGGGCTGCAAACCAGTAGCAGTCTGTGGACCAGAGGTTGGGAACCCCTGATCTAAACACATGGAGTATGTAAGTGTATGAAAAATTGATGATTCAGATATCAGGAACCCAGGTTTCCAAGAGGAGTTTTGGAAATTAAAATCTATATTGTAGATTTGTAATAGAAACAAATAACAATAATAAAACTGGGAAAATGGACCTGACACCTAGTCTACTTAATACTTTTGCAGCTATAGTTTATAAAAATTGAAGTTTTGGAGTTAAGTATAACCCATTGCTTAGAGAATAAAACTCAAAAGGACTGTGTACCAGTTGGTTAAGTGACATACTTAAAAGCAGTTTCTTTGTGTGGATCTGCTAACCCTCACCAGGATTATTACGGTAAACAAATTAGGTTTTGAAACATGTTTACTGCTTTGCTGGATTTGGAAAAAAAGAGAATTGGATTGCTAATTGCATACTGATGAAACTCAGACTGACCTGATTCAGTGGTTTCATGTAAATGTTAAAATGACATGAAAAATGGAACTGCTTAGGTATGAATAAAGGTCATAATAATATAGTCTTAATCAATACAACTTGCACAATATCTCCAGAAGGTACAGATGGTTGATGGTAATGAAAGCTGTTGTGAAGTCCAAAAGGACCAACAGGGCGTGTATTTCCCATTTTTTCTTGGAGGAAAGGACATACCACAGGATGAATGAGGCACTTCTAGTGCCAAGCCAAATTACAAGTCAGTCTGAAATGGGTCCAGAAAATAATTTTCATTCTGGAGTTTCTAATGTTGACACACTATTTGTTAGATTACAAGGTATGAATAGGAATAGCTGTATAATTACCAGGAAATTGTAAACTATATAGGGAAATATAAGGTAATGCAAACCTGTTTAAGATCTAGTATCAGTGTTTCAATATTAAGACTGAGAACATTCTGCCATTATCCAGCCTACACATTTTTTTGTATTGGTATTTCATCATACTTTGCCAAAACTAATCACAGATAATATTTAGGCATGAGATTTTTCACAAAGGTGGATACAGAAGTTTATAAAACTTAATATCATTGATTTGGTTTAAAATTTAAGTTTTAAAAATATAGTTCCCATCAAATTTGTGAGCAAACAGTATTTTGGAAAACACAACCCTATACATCTCTTTAAATTTAATTTCAGTGAGATATTATCAGATGTAAATTGGTGAGACATATGATTGTTGAGTACCACTGCATATAGTGTTTACTTCAAAATTAGCATTATAGCATAAGCTATTTGAAATTCTGGCTGCATGTTGAATAAACTAGAAATACTATGATAATCCTCCAGTGTGGCACTATTTTGATGTGGCTGTGGACATGTGGGCTCTGAGGAAGATGAAACCTATGCCAGAGTTAACCATATTGATAGGTCTCATCAGAGGAGCCAGAAGAAGAGTGCCTTTCCCAAAAACAATATGTGAGACGTAATTTACAGAAACTTATATCGCCTGAGTCAACAAGAGACATTTTAAGTGTTCTGGACATGTGAAAAGTGGACTATAGGACTCAGAATTGTTGACTGAGCAATCAGGGCCAGCAGGTGCAGGACTATTGGAAGAAAAGTTATTTTCAAACATTTGAAGATTGAAAACAAACAATGCCCTGCTTTTACAAATTCTGTCCCAGCTCTTGTCCAACTAGCAGATTGAAAGCATGCAAATGCAAGTAGATTAATAGGTACCACTTCAGTGGGAAGGTAACGGTATTGGTGTATAGTCATGCTGGCCACATGACCAGGGAAAGTGTCTTCAGGCAACAATGGCTCCCTTGGCCAAGAAATGGAGATGAGCACCATGTCGTAGAGTTGGAGACGACCGACAGGGAAACCTTTACCTTTATTACAAATCCAAGTCCAAAGAGAAGAAGGTATTTTTTTTAAAATGTGCCAATTCTGGAAGGACATCATCCAGAATAAAAGATAACAGAACAAAGTCTAGCAGGTCAAAGCTTATTTAAACTATAAAATAAAATATTTTCAGAAGTAGAACTGGAAGAATTGCAAAGTATACCCAGAGCAAAGAAATCAAGGCCTTGCCAGAAGTAGCTGAGGTTGTCAAGGCAACCGGGATTTTGGGGGGAGGGGGGGTTTCGGAAGTAGAGGAAGCCAGCATAGCTATTGAATCATTTTCTTTCCCCAACCAGACATCTTTTCCTCTATCTTCTCAGAAAGAACAAAGCCCTCTAAACTAAAAAAATAAGAGAGATTGAAACAAAGAATAGCTTTGTTTCAAATGGCACGAAAACAACAGAGTAAGGTTGCCTGCATTAAAACTTGTTCCAAAGAAACAGCTGGCACAAGTATTAAAATATACCAACACTGTAATATCAAATATAAGCACCAGCTTACTGTAAGAAACAAACCAGCTGCCCAACTGCAGTTATAACTGAAGATCTTAGATGCAAAATCAACAAAAACAAAAACAAAAATGGAAGATTAGATTGGAGAATAAGATCAACATACTAACTTCAGATGCAAACATGGTAGAACAGATGAAAAAAAGAAGCTGAAGAACAAGAACAACAAGTGGAGGGGGGGAATAATAAAATACAGAGCCATGCAAATAGAATTATCTTGGCAAAAGAAAGCAAAAATAGTACCAATTGTAACAGATGTCTTTGGTGCAATCTCAGAATATCTGAAGCACCACCAATCGGCATTGACAAAATCACCATCAGTCAATTGCAAAAGGCAGCTTTACTCGGAAAAAGCTTATATGGTATTAAACAATGGCATCTGCCTGTCCCAGGCCCTTGGGAATGACTTGATAGGTAAATAAAAATGCTAACCGAGTCTGAACATCTGGCTGACTGTGTGACCAACCATAATAATAAAGGCAAACTGTTAATTGTTCAGCAGAACAATTATTTGTATTTATTGAGTGATACTACAGTTACATTACTGAAACTTAGGTTCTCCGTCCTGCATGCAATTTGAAATTTGAAATTCTACTTCTATTCTATTTAATTCTATTTTACAGATATTAGAAAATGGCACTGATTTAATCAGCTTCAGAGGAATTACTGGGCCTTTTCTTCCAAATCTTCCATGGGAGTATGCAGTTTGGGAGTCATTTTTCAAATTCCAATCTGCTTATGTGGCTCCCTGTCTAAATTTGAAATAATTAGCTTTTGCTTCTAGTCACCTTTTCTCAACCTGTGTATCTAGAGTCTAGACTGTCTCTCTAGATACGTGGACTTCAGTTTCCAAGATTTCTCCATGACTATTCCTGGAATTTGGGAATCAAAACATATTGAGGCTTCTCAGGTTAAGGAAAGTAGGTATTTTGTTCATTTTTGTAGCCTGCAATGATTGTTGCAGTGTTTGTAAAACTAAATTTGTTAATAAACATGTATGTTTTCTAGAATCATGATGAGGAACCATGTAGCACATAGGAGATAATGATTCAGAAGAAAAGAATAAGATCTGTTATATGCATAAAATGAAAATTATGTTCCTAAAAAAGACTAAATGAAAATAAACTCTGTTAAATTCAACTATGTTGGATTAGTTATTATTATTATTATTATTTTTTGCTTTAATTTATATGCCACCCTTCTCCGGAGACTCAGAGCGGCTTACAATGCGTTAAGCAATAGCCTTCATACTTTTGTATATTTATACAAAGTCAGCTTATTGCCCCCACAATCTGGGTCCTCATTTCACCTACCTTTGAAAGGATGGAAGGCTGAGTCAACCTTGAGCCTGTTTGTCAGGGCGTTGATTAATCCCATGTTTGGCTCTGGGAAAAATCACCCTGGTTTAGAGGATGGATCGAGGCTTATTCCTTGTTGCAATATTCTGAAAAAGAAACGAGAAGAAAAGTTTCTAATAAAACTCATTTATTTGTTATAAAGAAAATAAAACACCTCACTAACTAAGAAAAGTAATTGCTACATTTTTGAAAATAATTCTTGCCGGCTATTTCTCAGCCGGACCTTGCTGGCAAGAGAACAAAGGAAAAAGTGTGTGAAGGAATGTGAAAGAATGCGGACATGCGTAGTAAAATACTGATAAGGAACTTGGCAAACTACAGTAAGTCTATTAGTCCAAAAATAATGAAGCTCATCTGGGAAATAAAAAAACGCAGTGACACTGTTGAGATTTGAACTTGCAGTAATTGCAAGCAGCAGATGTTAATAACAGTGCTTTAGTCCACTGTACTACAGGGTCTTCTCTTCTTTAAAAATTATTGCTTTTAAATTGGTAGGTTTTAATGCAGTACTTAAAACTGTAGTCTGTATGAAAGATGTTGTGAAAGGTTTTAAGATATGTCTTCTTTTCAAGCTCTGCAGTATATCTAAATGGATGAATTTGGCTGTAAACTCTTCTGGGAAGTTGGAAGTCTCTATGTTCTGCTTTCAATCTCTCTCAACTTCCCCTGCTTGTTTCGAAAATTGCTTTGTGTACTTTGAGCAAGTAACTTTGTTTCTGTCTTTATATTTTCAACATCACATATTGTGATGTTTTTCTAAAGAACATTAGAAGTTTGGCTCCATACAAGGCAACTAAAAGCTCAAGGAAGATGATTATCACTTACATAAAAGAATACGTGCGTACAAAAAAAATTAATTATAAATTAAACTCTAGAATTTTTTCTTTTCTTTTTTTCAGTTTAAGCATTTTCAACAAATATATGTGTCAGCACTCCAAACTACATTCGTTCCAGTGCTGACATAAGGAGGAGAAGAGGGGGCAGCTGGCAAGAAGATGCTTGACTTTTCACCTACTTATTTTCCCTGAAGATAATATCCCCTAGGAGATGAGATGGGAGGGGGGACATTCCTGGGAGCTGAAGTAGCAGATATGGGGAGAGTGATTTGGAAGATGGCCAATGAGATGCAGAGAATTGGGGAACGGAAAGGGAAGGTTTGGGGTCAGGAAGTCAGTGTTGGCTACGACATAAGTGGGGACAGATTGTCGTGCTTAATAAATGAAAGATTTCATCAAAGACTATTTGTTTGGAAATGCAATTTATTTTATTTGAGACGACATTGAAACCTGACAATATGTAGATCTCATGTTTATGTCTTTATATGTGGGAATTAATAGTACAGAGAATTTACGAGATCAGTAACAGCCAAGTGTATTAGTACAACCTTGAGCATTTCTGTTGTTTTACAGGTAGCCACAGGACCTGACTTGAAAAATAACCGGATATTAGATGAGCTGGTACAGAACTTTATTTCTGCAAGGTACTGAATAATTTTGGGAATTTTAGACTGAGACCCAGGTATGATTCAACCTAAAATCATGTCCATATATATATATGGACACCCCCCCCCCCACACACACTGTATTTCTCTGAAAACATGACCCACCCCAATAATAAACCCAACCCTAATTTTTTTTGGGTGGGTATAATATTACCCCTACCCCGAAAGCAAGCCCGGGGAGATGGGTGTGGCCAGCACAAGTGGTGCCACGGGTGAGGGAGGGGGCGGGAACTGTCTGGCCCCTTGGGGCACTGTAAATATCGCTTTTGCCCTTCTCTTTCTGGGTGCAGCTCTTGTGCTTGTTGGGCTACTTCCCCAAAGCTGGCAGCTCCACGGCCAGCTGCTTTGCTTTTTGGGAGGCTCGTGGGAGGCTTTTTGGCGAACTGGAGGAAAATGGGGAGGGGGATTTTCCTGCCTGCCATCCTTCTCTCAGTCTGTGCTGTGCTTGAGGAATGGATGATAGGCAAGAAAATTCCACTCCCCATTTTCGTCCCGTTTGCCAAAAAGCCTTCATTCTGAACGCTGAAGGTTCTGAATGGAGGCGGTGGTGCATTCACAGCGCGTCCAGCTCACCGAGTGGCCTGCTGCACCTCAAAAAAAGTAAGACCGCTCAAAAATAAGTCCAAATGCTTATTTTCAAGTCTAAAAGAAAATAAGATTCGGTCTTATTTTCTGAGAAACACAGTATCTATCTATCTATCTATCTATCTATCTATCTATCTATCTATCTATCTATCTATCTATCTATCTGAATGATAATATATGCAGTTAATATATGTGGTATTTTGTCATATGCAGTTGTAAATTTAGACACACAAAACACTGTCACACAAAACAAATCAAATTGGTTGAAATTCAGTGCTGTTATAGATAGGATACTATTTCTAGAATACAGGGAAGGAAAAGGTAGAATTGGAGAGTAGAATAAAATTGTGGTATGATATAGTAAAACATGAAATATTTATTAACCTACCCTGTCCTAGGTTTAGTTTTCTGCATTGAAATATTACAATTTGTAATATTAGATTAGGTGAACGAATAATTTGGTCTCTGAGATTCCACAGAGGAAAGATGTGAGGTAACTTTAATTTGCAATAATAATGCCATTGAAGGTTAAAAATTATGATAGCTTTCTTCAGCTCTCAAAGTTTCAAATTCTCCCTTTTACTGAGAAAGACTGCAGAATTTATATATATGGCAATATTGTAATAACTATTTGCTAGTGATATTTTCATGAGCTATTTCTTTTATATTAAAACATTGCGACATCATTGTTAACTAAGTTAAGAAGAATTAATGGAATTGTATCTAACAATATCCTGCCTTATTTAATGAAGTCTGTCCAATCTTGCATTCTGTGAATGGAAATTGAGGTGTTGCTTTGTACTGATTTTCCATTTTCTCTTCTTCACATTCCTCTCCACCCATCCAGATCAGATCTATATGGTTGGAATATAGTAGCATTTGACATGATGTAGGAGGATATATAGGGACACGGTGGGTCAGTAGCTAAGACGCTGAGCTTGTTGATAAGGTCAGCAGTTCAGCAGTTCAATTCCCTAGCGCCGTGCAAGGGAGTGAGCTCCCATTACTTGTCTCAGCTTCTGCCAACCTAGCAGTTCGAAAGTACATAAAAATGCAAGTAGAAAAATAGGGACCACTTCGGTGGGAAGGTAAGAGTGCTCCATGCGCCTTCAGCGTTTAGTCATGCTGGCCACATGACCATGGAAACTTCTTTGGACAATGCTGGCTCTTCAGCTTAGAAACCGAACGGATGAGCACCGCTCCTAGAGCCAGAAACAACTAGCACGCATGTGTGGGGGAACCTTTACCTTTACCTATTACCTTTAGGAGGACATAGTTTTGCAAATAATTCCCACCTTCCCTTCTTTTATTCATGGAAGCTATCCCCTCTACAGAGAGTTGCCTTATGAAGGTAAATATAATTGCCTAATAGGAGAAAAGAATAGTCTTTAACAGACAAAATGTTTTCTTTTCTTTTGACGTGGGGTCTACCTTTCTGAACATAAATTATGCAAGATGACCGACAATCTTATATAAACAGTTTTAAACCATATAAAGACAATTTAAGTTATTGCTACCATAACTTAAAAATCTGGCTTTCCCAAGAAGGAAGGATTCCCAAGAATTGATCTCTATGAAGGAATCCTTCATAGAGATCAATATACTGTCCATGGCAGTATATTTAACTTTCCCATCTCTGTATCTAATAGATTTTGGATCTTGGAAATTAAGTAGGGTCAGTCTTGGCTAGAACTTAGATAGAGGACCCTCTTGGAATTCCAAGGTTGTTGGCCCAATTTGGAGATCTAACTAACTTCCCAAAAGAAGGCAGTGGTAAGCTACTTCTATAATTTTGTAAAGAAAACTACTACATGGACATGTGGAATGAAGTCTCCAATAGTTGAATTCAGCCTGAATGAGACTTTCATTTAATTATTTGACATGACGTGCTTATCTAGCTTGTTGAGAAATGATTGAGATGAATTTGGTGAGGGGAAACAAGCTTTTGTATGGGCAGTGAGCATTCTGTAAGTGAATAGTTTTACCAATCTGTTGTAGAATTAGAGCAAGAATAGATTTTCTTAACAAGAAATAGAACATTTCCTGTCGGCTAAATTGTGTTACTATTGACTGGTTTATATTTTGGGTCACCAAAAATTATTTCTTCACTAGATGACTCAGAATTGGCTACCTCAATGGTACCAGTAGACTTTTAACCTTTCTGTGTAGAATAAATTGTTCTTTAAAAATGAAGGCAACATTGTAGAATGAGACCCGGTTTGTTCCAGATTATGCAGGCAGTATTGAGGGATCTATTTCAAGGGATGAAAATCTCTATTGAATTGTTAGTCTAACAATTTGCATTTCAAACGTGTGTCTGTTCAAAGTGTTACAATAAATATTCACACTTTATAGTTCTGACAGTAAATACGTTATTTCAAAGGTTGATGATCTGAGAAGTGGCTTATTACATATAATAATAATAAACCCATCCATTTTTTTCAAGATAGGACTATGTTTGCACATTCCCAAAGCAATTGCAATTGAAATTACTTCCTTGGATCTGTTTCTCCTTTGCAAATGATGGGATCTATTTCAGATCACTTTTTAATAAACTTTCATGTGAATTAGAAAAATGCGTATTTTTATATTAACAGCAAAGAACTTTTACATTTTGGATATTCTTTTCTTAACACCTCAATATTATGAAGCATTTTTTTTTCATTTTGAGATAACAGGATCCAAGTTCTTGGTACCAAATGTGGACTCTGATAAAAATGAAACTATACTTCTTCTCATATCCTCTTATCTGCAATTATGAAGACTGAATTTTGGCATGACAAGTTGCAATGTTGTTTTCTCAAAAAATGTGTTTAGTGGAAGCAGAATAGGGAAAATTTAGTGAACTATGAAATTAGGAATTTGTTATGATTCATTTTGCCGCTTTGTAGTTAGTTTTATTTATTTATTTATTTATTTTATTTTATATTTAAATTGATATACTGCTCTTCTCCCGAAGGACTCAGGGTGATGAACAGCCAAAGGTAAAAAACATAGAATACAAAAATTTAAGAGCAATTTAAATACATATTAAACAATTTTGGCCCAACAATTAAAATACCCCATTTAAAATTCAAATTAAAATTAGGCCTTTGGAGAAGTTAGGCCAGCCCGGCTTGTTGAAATAAAAAAGTCTTGAGGGCCCGGTGGAAAGTACGTAAATCCGGAATCCTCCGTATCTCCGGGGGAGGTCGTTCCAGAGGGCAGGTTCTCCCACAGAGAAAGCTCTCCCCCTGGGGGCCGCCAGTCGACATTGTTTGACCAACGGCACCCCGAGGAGCCCCTCTCTGTAGGAGCGTACTGGCCGGTGGGAGGCTCTCGGTGGCAGAAGGCGGTCTCGTAGGTATCCAGGTCCTAAGACATGGAGCGCTCTAAAGGTGGTCACCAATACCTTGAATCGCACCCGGAGGACCACCAGGAGCCAGTGCAGCTCGCGCAGGAGAGGTGTTACATGGGAGCGCCATGACGCTCCCATAATCACCCGCGCAGCCGCATTCTAGACCAGTTGGAGCCTCCGGGTGCTCTTCAAGGGGAGCCCCAAGTAAAGAGCATTACAGGTGGGAAGTGACGAGGGCATGAGTGACTGTGCGCAGGGAGTCCCGATCCAGAAAGGGATGCAACTGGCGAATCAGGCGAACCTGATAGAAAGCCCCCCTGGCCACAGCCGTCACATGTTCTTCTAAGGACAGCTGTGCATCCAGGAGGACACCCAATTTGCGAGCCCTCTCCGTGGGGGCCAACGACTCGCCCCCAATAGTCAGAGATGGCACCAGCTGACTTTATCGGGATGCCGGGAGCCACAGCCACTCGGTCTTGGATGGGTTGAGCTTGAGCCTGTTTCTCCCCATCCAGATCTGCACGGCCTCTAGACACCGGGACATCACGTCAAAGGCATCATTGGGGTGATCCGGGGTGGAGATGTACAGCTGAGTGTCATCAGCGTACTGATGCAACTTCACCCCGAAACCACGGATGATCTCACGGCTTCACATAAATGTTGTTTTTCCTGGATTTCGAATGGCATTAATAATTATAATTATTTTATAATTTATTTTAATTATAATTTTGTATTCTGCATTATTGTAACACGTTTATTACTTTTAACATGGTAAACCACCCAGATTTGCCTTGTGGCGAGATGGGCAACAAATACATTGAATAAATAAATAAATACATATATAGATACATGCATAATACATACTTAGGGAAATCTGCTTAGGTAAAACATAGTTGTTGTAGACAGGACTACTATTTCTTAAGCTCTTTGCGTGATACAGTTATTTATCTACCTAGAATATTGCTGGAAACAGCAAAATATTCTGTATGTCCTGATATGGAATTTAAGAACTGATTCTAAGTTTTTATCAATATTGTTTTAATATAGAGCAAAAAAA